ACACATTTTAAATATTTTGTTGTAAATACTGTGTTAAAGATGTGTGCCTTAAACTTCAGCTCAGTTAGGGCTGTCTTTACCTGGTTGATACATGTCTCTGGAGATTTTTTTCTTTTGCTACTCATTCACTCATTTACAACTGCATTTCCATGGCCATTCAGAAATCAAGTGGAGTAACTGAGCAGTTAGTGGGATAAACTTTTAAATTAGGAGTCTCCGTAACTCTCCCTGCCTCCCTGCTGGGAGGTATGTGCTTGAAAACCAGCAATAGGAGGAAGGGGGAAAAAGGGATAATGGACCAAAAACTGCGATTCAGGCTTATTATACAATTATAGGAAGAATCTGGGGCTGAATACAGAATTACTGGATCAGGGGAATCTGGTGTATTCTATAACACGCTGCTGCAGTGCTGTTTGCTTTTGGACATCTTGGCACCAGGAAGACTTGAACTGAAGATGTAGATGGTGACACACAATTAAGGAAATGAAAGACTATTTTGCGGGATAAAAAAAGTGTAGCTTTAGCAGATGCTCTTTTAGAGTCGAGATTATAACTGAGTTAGGGGGAGGCTGAGCTAAAATGAGTGTAAGGTGTACTTATGTGGGTATAAACTCAAGCACAGGTAGTTCAGGTTAACCATTGTGAAATATTTAATAGACTAAGGCGTTCATCTTCCAGGAGCAGTGATGGTTAACTGTATCAATTCCAGTGTTTTTAAAAAAAATGGGCTTGATGCACTAGAAAAAATTGTTCCCTGCAAGTGATTGCATGTTGGCCCATGTAGCACTGACTGGGTAGCGGACTAGTTGAGGCTGGCATTTACGCTATTTGTTATCACGGTTTCTGAAGTCCAGCCCACTGATAACGGCCTGTGAGATGTGAATACATTCCAGGCCTTTCTCCTTTGTGTTCAGACAAGCTTGTCATCTTCCTGTGCTTCTAAGCTTACTTGTCAAAAAATCTTAAGATAATTTTATTTCAGCTTTTTAAAAATCTCATATCTTAGAAGATAATCTTTCTTTTGACTTGCAACCAATATTGTATTATGTATATTTTATAAATTTGTTTATAACTTGTGTTTTGTTTCTTAAATTAAAAAACAAGAATATTTTTTGGATATATTTACTTAAACACTTTTATGTCCTCAATTCTGCCTAACTCCTTATGTTAGTATTTCTTACAGAAATCTGAGGCAAAACTGAGAGCCAGTACTAAACTGGCTGACAAATGCTGAAATGTTCCTGCAAAGTGTTGCAGCTGTATCCAGTTGAGTGGGGTATGGCTGAGGGCCCTCATGTGTGGAAAGTGCATGTTCCTTCAAAATGAGTGTTAAAGAAAGGAAATGTCTCTAATTTCTGTGCAGGGCTGCTCAGTGAGGCAGGACTGTTAAGACAGCTTGCTTTCTCTGCAGCCAGAGGCCTAGAAAGACTAACAAAGGGCCAGTCCCTGCATAGATCCAAACTTAAGACCAGGTGCCACCTTTGTTTCCTGTCTATACAGGACCTGACCCAACAGGAGCTAACCAAGAGGCAGCTGTGATCTCAGTGCTTCTCCAGTGAGAACTCATTTCTCAGATTATATGAATAATTGTCATCCTGATGATCCCATTTCTTAAAGGGTTTTTTTTTCTTACAGCAATTAAGATGTAAATCTGATTTTTTTTTTTTCCCATGAGCCTTTTTCAAGTGGTATGATTTCCTATAAATCGTTTAAATAGGAAGCTCAGAAGTGTCATCTGGATTTTCTTGCCTTAGTCATTTGCTTCTCAAATAACTCCCTTGGTGTTACAGCTTTTAGAACTTGCTTTCACTTACAAGAAGTTTGTTTGAGGGAAAAATCCAGACGCTATTTTAGCAATCAAACATAAGGAAATCAAGTAACTTTAATACATCTGTTGGTCCCTGAATGCAAAATTGAATAGCCCAGCAAGACTCAAAGGAGGGGAAAAAAAGAGCAAAATCAGTCACAAGTTTCTAATTTTATTTTAACAATCTTGCTTTTTAAAAAATACAAGTTCTGATTAATGCCAGGGGGATGCCAAGTGTCCACTGGCCACAGGCCTTATCTCTCACTTCAGTTTACCCTCCTGGGAGTAGTCACCTCTTTTTGTCAGGGTAGCGAAGAGAGAGCAATAAAATACTAAATAGCTGAGTTGCGTTACAAGGCTTGTAACAGAATCCCAAGGGACCTATGTCTTATGGCACAACTTCGTTTAGCAAAGTGTTATTGACCTGGACCAGTAATTTAATGTTGGCAGAATATACAGTAGGTGTGCAAGGTGCATCGGGTGAGGTATTGTTTGCACTTTAATGGTACCACTATCTCTCTCTTCTGCAAACGGATCTATTATGTGGCAGAAGCGTTTAAATGGAAGCGAGAGCTGAATTACAGAAGAGAAGGGAATTCAAAAGGAGGAGCAGGCTTATAAACAAGACATTGAAGAGCTTTAAATGTTTCTCTGTAGTAAGTAATTGAAGTGGCAGCAGAGCTGCCCTTCTAGTTGCAAGGGGGCTTCTGTACAGCCAACTACTATGAGAGATTTACACTCTCCAAACACCACATTTACTAACAACCTAGAAACCATGGCACTACAAAGAACCACTTTTTCTACAAAGGAATTCTATGCAACAGAAGCATCATTTTGCAGGGTCATCTGTCCCAGGCAACCTTTGCATCCACAGACAAATTTGAACTGTGATTTCACTGTCCATGGTTTAAATATGCCATGGCTAGATAAATTTCAAATATGCCCTTTTCTCACTAATGTCTTAAATTAGAAAAGGCACTCACTGTTGAAACAGCAACTTTGTTATGTGCTATGAAGGGGTACTGAAATAAGACTTGTTAATAATTCTGCTGTGATTCTTCTAGTGTCTCAACTATGCTTACACTTCAGTGTATTAGGGAAGTTCTACGCACTTTGGTGCTATTGTGGACCTCGCCATAGGAGCAACAAAACATAGTTGGGGGTGAATAGCTTTTTTTTTTCCTTCACCTTGTTTTTGGCAAAGTTGTTTGTTTGTCTTCAGCTGACTGAAGCATGGAGTACTCCTAGGTACAGGTATCATCTCCTTCTCTCTTGAGTAATGCTGTAGTTCTTTCTGAGCTTTTACTATCTGTTTAATGCTAAAAAAGGAAGGTGCAAGGAAACAAATATCTGTATGAGCATAATGTACCTGTAATTACACCTCCTTTGGGCAGGAACTTAGCATCCCCTCGACACATCTCACACCACATAGGAAAAGTTCACAGTACCAAGTTTTACAATCACAGTCACTCACAGCACCAAGATTGTCCAGACAAAAAGAAGTTACTGAAGAGAAAGGCCACTGGCCAAAATTCATACAATTGCCCAAGTTAAGGGCTCAGGTTAAAAATAAAGCACTGGTGGGAAAGTTAAGCCTAGCCTTTGCTGACTCTCCATTTGGTGGGGGGAGAGCAGCAAGTCACCCATCCTAGCTGCAGCTCTGAACAGAACACTGCTATTGCCCCATCTTCTCTAGGGCCTTTTCTAGCCCCTCGAAACTCATCAGCCACCCAAGTGCTGGGGGAGAAGAGCCCCATGGCACCCCCACTTCTGCTTGTGGGAGCTGGAAGTTACCAGACTGTAAACATTTTATTGTAGCAGTCCACGGGAGCAGGCAGTTGATCCCACTCTGTGAAAAGGGAGGTGGGACAGAGGCTCAGTCCCACTGAAGCCTGAGCCCTGAAGGAGAGAATGGATGTGTGTGCAGAAGTCTGGGCTGCGCCTGCAGTCCTGCTGTTGGCTCTGGGTAGCAGTTGGTTGTGCTTTACTTCCCCTTCTCGTCAGGACAGCTTGAAAAAAGGCTCGAGACAGGAAACTGGCAGCCTTGCCCAGATAACAAAATATAAGCCTGGGAGAGGCAAAGTCCTTCCTCTGAACGTGGCCTCTGTGCTCCTGCTTCCATTTGGCTGGTTTCAGGAGCAGCTGTAGCCAGGCAGAAGAGCGGGCCTTAACCCCCACCTAACATTCGTGGAGCTTAAAACCAAAGATAACTGTGTTTCTATGAGGAGTTACTAACAATTAACTTTTTCCCCACCTCCCCTTAACCACATGCACATGGAGGACAGGATGCTGGTATGCGGGCTTTCACCAAAGCTCGGGAACCCCTCTGCCTCGAGGGCTCCTGCAGCACTTTGCTTTCTGTGCTGAAAAGTGAGGTTCACCGAGCGCCGGGCTCGCCACCGGGCAGCGCTGACATCCTCTGCCCTGCCGTTTGAGAGGGGGCAGTTTGCAGGCCCGGCCCCATCTCCGCTCTCTCAAACAGACACGGAAGGAGACCAGCAGAAAACTTCCCAGCCTTCCCGGCCTAGGTAAAGGGAGACCTTACGCTCCGCGTAAAAGAAAACCAACACGGATCCCATAAACATGCATATTCACAGAGAAATGAGAGCCCCAGCACCTGGGTGCTGCTGTCTGAAGCAAGCAGTAGGCTGCTGTAAACCCTGTTCTCACCAGAAATAAATGTCTCGGTGGTAGTGAAGTGGGGTCTAAGCCCCCGGATTATGTTCGTGCCAGATTCACGTGTTTCTTTAGCGTGTGAAGTCAATGTAAGATGCAAAAGGTTGAAGCACAGAGGTAGACGTTTTCAGCTTGGAGAAAGCGGCTCCTGGGCTTGAAATGACCAGATGGCTGGCGTGCTCCCAGAGGTTCCCCAGCTGTTACGCGAAGGCCCTCTGCAGCTCTGCCGCTGGGAAGCAGCGGTGGCAGCTTTGCAAGACCTAGCGAAAAACCAAAGCGTGCTTCCTTTTGTCCTGCCTGCACCCTGAAGGCACGTCTCTGCTGGTCAGGCCCCTCTCACATCTTGTCGTCGTGGTCAGCAGGAGTTCTTAAAGGAGGGGACAAAATCCACGGCTCCCTGTTGTTCAGGAGGAAAAGGAAAAACTAAACCTCGACGGTCACAAAGCAACACGATGTCCTGGCGGGGAGCGGGAGGGGAAGAGCGGGACCGTCCGAAGAGCGCGGCGAGGCAGGAGCGCTAGAAGAAGACTTGGGGCAAAGGGCAGGCGCGTTTTCGGGGACCGAGCGTCAGCCGTAGGCTCCTGCAGGTAGTCGGGTTTGCGCTGAGCTTCGGCCGCCGGATTTGTCCGCGGGAAAGGGAGGAGGAGAGCGAGAGTCCGCCGGGGGAGCCCGCGTCCCCTTCCCCTGGCTCGGCCACGGCGGCGGGAACCTGAGCAGAAACGCAGAGAGACTCTGCCGGGAGCGGGCCCGGAGGCGGCGGGAGCCCCTCCGGGGGCGG